CCAAAACAAACCAACCAACCTCCCTCCCCAAGAGAAACCCAAAACAAACCAAAAAACCAACACAAAACCCCAAAGGATTCCAAGTTCAAAACGGAAGGTTGAAAAATTATACGAATTCCAAAAGCTCATTTATTATGGAAATATTTTAGTAAATTTCCTGGAAAATAAAGTAAGAGAGGCTCAAGGTCCTAAGCCCAAGGAAGTGTCAGTTGTATTTGGTATAAGACTGAGGGAGGATTGATTTCTAGTTTGCTGCATCTCTGAAAGTGGACATAATCAAGAAAAACAGTTTTGAAAGAAGAGAATGTATGAGTTAAATAGTCAAAACAAGAATATGATATACATATATAAATGATAATATGATATACATACTATAAATGATAATATGATATACATATATAAATGATAATATGATATACATACTATAACTGCTGTAGTCAAACATTAGCAGATCTCCACAAATAGACATGTTAATTGGTCAAAGGTCATGCACTTATACAGAGAAAGTATTACGGGTATAGGTCAACTAGTACATTAAGGTAAGAGAGCATTGCTAGTATAGATACAACCAAATTAAGATTACAATTAAGGTTTCTTTTAGCTCTCCCATGCTCTAAATCATACAAGCTTAAAAGTGTAGTTTTGCTGGTAGAAATGGATCTACCATAGGAGCTATTGCCAATGGAGCATATCAATTAAGAATCCCACTAAATGAAAGAGTTTTGCCAGCAAAGCATGTAGCACAGACCCTGCCAAACACTTCAAAGAAGTTATGCTATTAAACTAGCTAAGAACAAAAATACACTAAATCAGAAATCCAGACAGTCTGTTTTACAACACAAACAGTCTTAGATTTCTCTAATGTTTGAGAGAGATGACATGGGACTTTGCCAGGTTCTCCGTTCATTGAAGTCAATGGAGCTACTACCAGCATAGGAAAGGAGACCAAGACCTATAAATATAAAAATAACCCCAAAATAAAAAAAGCCTCATTTTGATACCTACACACAAAGTTGTTTCAAATATGAAGGAGAAACTTGTTTTGTACTATTTAATGAGCAAGGAAATATGCTGTGTCCAAAAAGTTATTTGCCATAGGGAATTCAAATGTTGACTATGATGTGCAGGTGAATCAAATAATTACTGACCTTTTGGAAAATAAGTTAATTATCACAAAACTATTGTCATTATTGCAGATTAGGTATACTGATGTCATTAGGCAAAAAGCTTGCTAGGCCAAGAGTGAATTCAGTCATAGTGTCAGAACTAACTCCCAAACTGTACCAAACCATTTATACTATATTACGTCACCTGCACAACAGTACTTTGTTAGCCATACTATCGTTTTATATTTCCTAACTAAACTCCATCTCAGTTTGTTTGCAGGGAAACCAAACGGCATTGTTAAAATGAGTTTATAGCATCATTTTTATAACTAAATTTGTAACATAAAATTATATCAACTGCACACGTGCAAGAAATTTCTATAAATCTGAAAAGCATTAAGTTCACTTTTAACATTCACGAATTTTTACTTTCAACAAAACAGTTTCCTTTTCTTTGTTTTCTCCACAATTTAAACAGACCACACAAAATCCAATAAAGCCGCACATGGTTCTTGGGTAATAATCTTATAGTTCAGAAGTTAAATGATCTAAAAACCACTTACAAAAACATACCATTTGCTTTTCTCTCAACAGTACATGTAAATGTCTTGCTACACTCAGTCTCTTCATTCAAGCAGACGGCAGCTTTTTCCTATTTTAGATTGCCTGTAAATAGAATGATTTTTTTCCCCTTTTAAAATACACGAGTGAAACATTTCTCTCGTTTCCTAAAGATGAGGCTTTGTATACACACTTTTAAGCACTTTGTAAAAAAAAAAAAAAGGAAAAAAAAGAACAAATGAATGCAAAA